GACACAATCGGATCGTTGTCCCGTATATAACTTCCATGCAATAATTTCTGTTACCAAAGTGTTTGGTATCGATCCGATAGAAGAATGCAGTTGCGTGAAAAATATAGAAAACATAAATCATCATAAAATTTACAGTAAGTTGTATAAATTTCATGTAAATTTATCTGAATTTGTCAATTGGCTCTCTGCATTAACCATTTTCTTGTTTATATTCAACAAAAATATTATTTGCTCACGAAATTTTCATGGATTTGGCAAATATGAATCAGAACTCATTGTCATCCTCGTAATTCTACTCTTATACATCTCCATGCAATTTTCAATTTTGAAAAGAGCAAAGGTTTCGTTGCATTTCATGAAAAGCACATACGAGGTCGAAGCAGAACAAGCAGAATTACTTCTCTTAAAATGTGTGGCGTTTGTGTTTGTCATCGTTCTGATTGTTTCCAATGGAATATCCGTGTTGATTTATCAATCAATCATCGATTATAGCGCAAGTAAAATGGAAGCAGTTGTTTGTTCTGTAGCATTTTCATTTGGTTCAATACATGTGATAGGACAAATATTCTGAAGCTTTTCAATTAATGTTTAGCTGGAATCATAATTAACTTGTTTGTTCCGGTAAATTACGCTCTTTGTTCACCAAATCGGCTTTTATCTCGCGTTTGTCGAATTTCCATCACGTGTTAAGAGTTTACGTAGATAACTGCTTTGTTCCGAAAAAATTGTTTTTTTAGAAGCAAATTTTGTATTATTCAGGTGTCATTTAGATATATATGTATTTGTTTATTCACTAAAGGTATGTACTAAATTATATTAATTTATATTAATTTTGTCACGACAAGTAGTTCAATCAATGGGGGTTGGAACGTTGAGGAGTCGGTAAGTAGTCCTATCCTTTCCAGTTTATAACGCTTTTTATATCGATAGACACCAAATAATTGTTATCAAGTTATATTATTTATCATAAGTAATCAAAGTTTTAAAAATTAGTTGTACAGTAATCGTATACCTCACGTTTCTTTATGCAGCACTCGAGAAGCGCTTTACAGAAAACACACCGAAACTAGTTTCTAATTGGCCAACACTGCTCGTGACGTCATTTCACTACATTCTCGCTAAGGCGCTAGATAACCCAGGTATGCTCATACGCTTCCGTCACGTGTGCAGCCATATTGGTCCTTTTGACGTCATATTCTAAGATGGCAGCTTGCTAGTGTAGCATCGTGTGTTCTTCGTGTGTTCAGCTTAACAAAGAAAATTAACAAAATGCCGTGTTGTTCGGCTCCAAATTGTGCGAATAGCGACGGAAAAGGTTACCGAATGTTTCGATTCCCTGCCGATCAAAATAGAAGAAAGGTTTGGGTCGTTAGAACAAGACGGGATAAGTGGCAACCAACATCGTCTTCTCGTTTGTGTGAGGTAAGCACTTAAATTTAACGTATTAACAGATTTGGTTTTTTTAATTGGACTCCAGTTTAGCAGATGATATTAAAATGGATATAGATGAAATTCAGAAGTTAATATTTTTCTTAACTTCTGAAATAAGCTGTTTATTTGTTAATACACACTTACTAGTATCTGCAAGTATTAATTTGTAACAAAAGATTTGTCAGTCCATGTTTAGTCTAAAGATGTTTCATAAAGCTGGAGAATTTTTATCTATGAAAAGTTTGATATTTTAATGTTCTGAGAAGAATGATATTTTAGTTAAGGCATTTTAATTTCTTATTTTATTATCAATTTAATGTAGATCCATTTTACTGAGGAGCAGTTTGAAAATAATAGAGTGGATGGGAAGAGGAAGTTAAGACCTGATGCTGTCCCAACACTATTTGGAAATAGCAATGAAAATCAAGTATCAGGTGTTAAACGTTTAAAGGTGTGTGTTTCTGTTCTTAGCATGAAACTTAAAATAAGGTTTTTGTTAATTTTTTCAAACATAACTTTTAAATAATCTTTTGTCTGCTGCATGATTTATGCAATGTACTCATACTAATATACAACATATAATCAACTTTTAAATACAATTTATGCTTGTTTATCAATCCAGGTCTGTGAAGAAAGCAGAATAACAGTAGGAGTTGAAGAAATGAAAACAAAAGAGTCATGTACAATCGAAAATTCATTTACACCACGGCCATCAGAACTAACAGTTCTAACTTGCAAGAATAATACTATAGACAATAGTCTTCATATATCAAAAGAAAATATTCCTAACTGTGATGATGTACATCCACCAACTAATTTGGACCAAACAGGTATGCACTGTAGCATGTAACTAAATACTCAAATTGTAACTTAATAACTAATATATTTTTGTTTTCTTTAGATAATTTTGTCGATGTAGCAAAAAACAGTTTTACAACTGATGCACATAAAAAGTTACAACAGCACATATGGAGACTAGAGAAAAAAGTTCAAATGTTGAAACAAAAAAACTTGAATTTTCAACTTAATCTAGAAAAACTGTTTAATGAAGATCAGTTGAAGCAGTTAGAACGTGGCAAAAATGGTAAAACTGTTTGGAGTATAGACACTTTACTGTCTGCATTTAGAGCTCGTTTTGCCCTTGGAGTACGTGGATACCAGTATCTTAAAAGCACTGGATATCCACTACCTAGTATTTCAACTTTAAATAAAAAACTACATGGCCTAAATTTTTGTCCTGGAATTTTAACTTGTTTGTCGCCATATTTACAACAAAAAGTGTCATCGATGAAACCGGTTGAAAAAATCTGTGCAATATCTTTTGATGAAATGGAAGTTCAGGAGGCACTAGCTTATAGTAAACAGTATAAGTCTTTTCTTGGACTAGTAACTTTTGGGAACACTTCTGTAAAAGCAAATCATTTATTAGTGTTCCTCATCAGAGGCCTCTCAACATCTTGGAAACAAATTATTGCCTACCATGCAACTGCATCTTCAACAAAAGGTGAAGATATTAAGAATTTTTTGTTTCATGTAATTGAACACTTGAAAGCTATTGGCTTAAATGTGGTAGCCGTTGTGTCAGACATGAATTCCTGCAATGTGTCCTTTTGGAATGCTGTCAATGTGAAAGTAAATAGAACTACAAGAAGAACTTATTTTGAATGGAATGATGGAAGTGTAATAAACGTGTTTGCTGATCCTCCCCATCTTTTAAAAAATATGTGGATGTCACTTCAAAACAATATAGTGAAACTAAGTCCAGATATTCTTGAAAATGAAGGACTACCATCATCTGAAGTAAAATTTGCACATGTAGTGAACCTATGGGAGCTGCAGAGAAAAGATGATTTAAAACTGTTATATCATTTGGAAGAAGGTGACATCAGACCTTCTCATTTTCAAAAAATGGATGTGGGAAGAGCTGTTAGATTCTTTTCAGTGAAGACTGCTGCAGCATTAGAAACTGCAGTTGCTTTAAAACTTTTACCACCAGATGCACTTTCTACAGCTTGGTTTGTTCGCCTTTTTTGTCAATGGTTCCAAATAATGAGTGCACGTACACAATTAAAATCTGTCACTGCTAATAATTTTGACACAAAGAAAAAACTAATGGACTCGTTTGTTGAAGTAATATCAACATTAGAATTTGATAAAGGGTGGAAACCTGTACAAACTGGTACCATATTAAGCACAATATCATTATTGAAAGTTTGTGAACATTGCTTTAAAAATGATTACAAGTTTGTGTTGGGCAGTAGACTCACCCAAGATGCTCTTGAGAACGTTTTCTCAACAATAAGAAGCAAAACTAAGTCAATGCCCACTATATTAGATTGTGTAACTGCCATTAAATTGGTGTCTGTTGCACAGTTTCTTGAAAAAGAACCAAACTTGAAGTCAGGATATGCACAAGATAATGATCACAGTTTATTAAACATTTTGGATCCAAAAGAAAGACAAGCTGAACCTCAACACACACATTTTGATGACAATGTGACAAAGAGGCTAAAAAGTGCCATTGAAATGAATGATAACACAAATGTTGTTCACAAGAATTCACTTTTTTATATTGCAGGTAGCTGTGTCCACTCTTTAATGAAATCAGCTTGTAATGACTGCCAAGCAGAAATGACAGGTGATGTAGATGACCTAACTAAAGCAGGACAAGATAGCCTTCTTTTGGAATATACATCATATGGGGGGTTAATATATCCCAGCATGAAAGTATATAATATTGTGAAGGCAGCAGATGCTGCCTATACAGAAATTCAAATGGAATTACTTCAAGGAAAATATCATGCAGATGATGAATTTGTAAATATTGTCCTGAAGTACTGCAAGACAACATTACCTTCATGTTGTGAGGTAATGAAAAAAATAATACAGCATTTTGTTACTGTAAGATCATATGAAACAGCAAAGAACACTATTACAAAATCCAAAAATAAAACTTACTCAACAAATAGTGCATCAAAATAAATGTTTTCTTTGCATCTGATTTTGTTTTTGTTATCTTTTGTTTATCTTTTATTATAACTGGTCACAAGAAACACATAGGGTTAAAAATATAACAATGCAAAAATGAAATAATTACAATCACAATATGACAATATAGCTGTATTTAATAATAAAAGAAACTGAAAGCAAAGACCTGGTGTTTCCGTTGACTCTTGAGACTCGAATTAGAATAGATCCTTGATTCAAATTAAAATTAATTTGAATCAAAGAACTTTAATTAATTAATTAACAAATTTTAATTAATTTGTGATAAATACATTTTACATGCACCAAATTTCCCAAGTTACTGTTGCACTTGGTTTTTCCAATTGATCTTGCGTTAACTTTTTTTCGCGTGTAATTTTTTTCCGATCTAAATTATACTTGTTTTTAAATTTAGCTGTATTTTATAACTGTAGTTGCATTAAATTTTGACAAAGTTTATCATTTCGACCTTGCAAAATCTTAAGATACAGTTGAATTTATGATTACAGTATTTTCGTGTCTCTTCTATTGAACTTCTATGAGAATCGTCTGCTTTCTAAGGACCAAAATGGCGGATGAGCATACCTGGGTTATCTAGCGCCTTACTTGGGACGGAGACGACCTGGGAATACCGGGTGCTGCTGTCACTATTTTTTTCTTTCGTTCTTCTACGTATTTCTTTTTCGTGTAATCAAATTTATCACTTCGCGCAGAAATTTCTTCTTTTTCATAAATTACATCAAGCAAAAATTTATTTTCTATAATTTCTCACTTTCCATACATTGCATCAAAAATTTTCAGTTAACATATCTTCTGTTAATTTGAAATTTACACTGGGCGTTTGAATGTTCTTATTACGTGTACAACAAAATGAAGCATTAGTTTATTATATATAAATATTTATACTTACTAAAAATAAAAATGTAAGAAATCATAAATTTAAAATAATAATGTAGTTTTAAAATCGAATTGAATTTTTATATAGTCGCTGGATGCAATCCGGATCCTATAAATATAAGGGGGAAACGACTGTAATACTGTCATCACGAAAATTTTGGTCTGCAGTAAATTTCAGGCCACTATCTTTTAATAAACTCGTTTATCTAAAGACGAATGTAAGTTAGACAAAACTATAACTTTTGTAAGGGAGAGTAGCCTAACTCGATAAAAAAAATCGGGTATGAATTTACAGTTCTTACGAAAACCGTTTAATTTACAAACGTTTACGGTTTATTTTATAAGCCTTCCTCGGGTTTCAAAGTACAAACTTCTGAAATTTCGAAAGTTTGTAGTTTCAAATTCGTGGCAGCTATGACTTACGGTTATGCAAGAACGACAGCTACCCACCGAATGCTTTCAATAGGCAGTTAGTGTAATCGATACAAAAAAGTTGAATTCGCATAAATTTGGACTTTTGTTATTCTAGTCGATATTTAAAATGAAAATCATTCGTTTGGATGCGATTTTAATTTATGCAGCGAGAGAAGTAAGATGTGGGACCCCGCAAAATCTGACTTAATCGTCCAAAGGTTTCACCAGCCTTTTACTGATAACGAGAAAGGCTTAAGATTAAAATTTCAGCTTTTTAGACCCAGTACTGTCTTTTCTCCAGTAGTGTTTGCACCGCGAAACGATGATTAGAATAAGAATTATATATAATAATGAGATCTAAACATGAGTTTGAAAGTAAAGCAATTTGTTGGTAGTGATGTCATTTACAGTGCTAAATTGCATATTTAGTAATTTACGGATAGCAGATAAGTCCGTATTTAATAGCTGTAGGGGCCACCTTACAAGAGGTTTGACTATATTAATATATAATAGAAATGAAAACATCAAGAAAGTAACTAAATTGGTTAGTATAATTGCCAACTGTTTGTCAGTAAATATGGAACCTGTCTTATAAATAGGAAATTAGTATGCGAATGCATATTTACAAGGATTTTAGCTCATATTTATCAGGCATTATCTCGAGACCAATCATTGCGAATGAACGAAGTGGACGGCAGTTTGTTTGTTAAATCGGAAGATCGTCTTGGACAACTATTTGTTTTCGGCACAGTAATGTAAGAGAGCACATAACCATGTATAAAATAAGTTTATTTCAAAGCAATATTGAAATATTATTCTATGATACTTGATAGTTTTAAGTATTTATGCCTTTCACCGTTGTAAAAGTAAACACATTAGTTTTCTTATGTGGATGTGATTTGAAATTTAAAAATATCTATTATCATCATCACGTTCTGTTAGATATATATATATATATATATAAATTTTTATATAAACACAATTATTTTTCACGTATGTAATTTCTGTTATATAAGTGTAGTTACTATCACACTATGTTCGCACACTGACTACATAAACCAAATACAATGAATACTCAGCATTTATTAAAAAAATAGCCGTAAAAGTAGTTTTAATCGAATAATAAATATAACTGTATTATTTTAAAAAAAACATAACTATCACTAAAGTTTTATTATAGAGAATATTCTTAATGTTTACTAAAGTTAACTATTAAATGTATTTTTAAAACTAATTTTTAAATATGTAGCGAGAACGAAAGTTATATGCGTAGATATTTAGCACATGTCGATTCGAGACAAATATAATAGATTATACATATATATATAGCGAGTTTTGATTGAGAGTTAGCTAATTGCAAAATTCACACTAAAAATTATTATTAATAATCTATTAATACATAGAAGGTTTGCATAAATTAGTTTTATTTTATTTTTTTAATAATTGAAGAATTAATAAGTACCAACGTGCAGATTGTATGAGAAAATAACCTGTCCAAACTATGATTGGTAATTAAGCTTTACATGTATATTATTTTTATATTTTGTAAAAGTTATCTTGTGAAAAGTTTCATAGTATGGGTAATTTTGAAATATAAAAATACAAGTATGACATTAATATGTTATTTTAACAAAATTAGAAAAAGAAATGAAATTATTTCGACTTAAACTTTTAATGATATCTGAATAGTATGAATGTATTTATATGGTGTATTTCATTTTGTGTTTTCTTCGTTTTACTGAATGCAAATTTGAGTTTAACCATGTGAAAAAATTTGACTTTGTTTACAGTTGCTATAGACTTGCATATAAGTAAACGAATGGCAAAATATCAGATGTGAATGACGCTGATATCTTGAACAAAGATATAACGTGATCTTTACAGAGCAAAAATATCAAAAAACCGTATCTGTAAATGTTACCCTTCGCAAGATATTCGCATTCAAATTGGCGGCAGTTCCGTTCGCCCTTATGCTTGCGGACGTCTCGCTTGCTTTATGATTTTATTCATTAAAAATACAATAATTAGTTTAATTTTTTAAGCGAAATATAGTATTTGTAATCGATTAATGTTTTGACGTAGCACGTGACGTATTTGTCATAACGTCAAAGTGCGAAACTAACGTATTGTTCGAATGTATTATTCGATTTTTTTACTGTCGGTCGCCATCTTTAAACGTGATTTTTTCGAAAGTTTCGCTTTTTCACCTCTTTTGTCGAAATTTCCGGGAAGAAATTTGATTATAGACAAACTTAACCGAGTGAGTAAATTATTATTATTGAATTATAGGAAATCGAAACGGAATAAATAACTGTTCATAGAATGTTAAATTGTAATATATTTATAATTTTAGATTGTAAATTTCATTTAAAAGGCGAGATTTTTTAAATGTACGAAAAACTAAATTGATTTATCAAATTTGGTTAATAATGTAAATCAGAATAAATGCCATAAAAATGGGTTTAGACTTAATATGTCCTGTATAAGTTGAACAGTTCATCCGCTTCTCTTCAATGATTTCATATACGGTAAAAACTCGCTAAGACGAACTGCGTTAACTCGAAGCTGTGTACAGCTTACTGGCACGGAATATAGATTTTTCCATATAAGAAAGTTTCCTGAAGTCGAAATTGTCTGTAATTTTATTTAATTCGAATCTGTTTTCCCGCGCATCGTTCACCCTACCCTACGATAGTTTGGGATCTTCGCTGCCTCTCACATTTCGCGTGAATGTAGACTATTAAGATAGACACTACAGCCCTATGACATCCTTTTTCTAATACAGTAGGCTACCGCCTCTCTGATTGTGTGAAAACGAAGCAGCTCATACGGCTTCTATGTACTCGGGCAGCGAAAGGCCAAGGTTCTCTCATACAAAAACGATTATGATTGGTTGTTTATCTAATGTCATTTTGATTACAATAAAGCTGCGAACTTCTGGTCTTTAATATTTTATTTGTTGAAGTTTCCACGAGTTTAAAAAAACTGTGAATATCGAGTGTTCTCGTGTTTTCTTTATTTTCAATTAGGTTCGTTTGGAGTTTCAAGTGAATTATATTTTATCGGTAATTTTCGTACATTTGTTTCCTTGTCAATCTGATTTATTCGGTTATCTTCGAATGCCATGTACTTCGAATTTAATTTATTCCGGGAGGCCGTTTGAAATCCGAAGCATTTTTTTATTTTCCGTTAAAAATAATTGTAAGCAAATTAATCCATTCCCAGGCTCTAAACGATACCATTTCGATAAACTTTTTAAAACGACAAATACACACAATTTAAGACAGAAAAAAAACACAGTTAAATGTCACAATTATAAATAAAAACCGTAAGCAAAAACCGCAATAAAATTAAAACAGCATATACTGGTTGCACACAGTCGACTTTGGCATCTTAAACATGGCCGCCGAATGCCACACCTGTTTCCTCTTTATCTCAATCGTCGACGTTATAAACTTGTTAGACTTCGTTACTTTCATACACTCGACGGATGCCGTGATTAATTAATAAGAATAGGGTTGAACAAAAAAATCTTGCATATATTTTTAACGGCAGTCCTTACTTAAATTAATTAACATTAATGTGCTATATTCACGACTGATATAATTAAATCTGACATTACCAATGGTGTGTTGTTGTATTCTTTGTTTATAAGTTTATTCTAAATCTTTTACTTCGCCTTTTGTTTGAATGACGTCAAGTTGGAATGTCTTCAGATAAAGCATATCCAGACTACTCTTCATAAGTTTCGGGAAAAAATAACGCCTTNGAAAAGTTAGTTCAATTAAAAAGTGTGCAATCTAACTACTTCAGCCCCTTGTTCAGAAAAGAAAAATATGTACTCTGATCAATTAGTCTGGCTCATTCAGAAAAATAGAGTACTTATTTAGAGCGGGGATAATAAAGGAATGATTCAAAAATATTCAAATTCAATTGGGTCAAAATAATTTAACTACTAAACACAAATACTACAAAGAATACTACATATTTAATAAATTAAATTGATGCATTTTGTATTTAAAATAAATGAATTATAACAAAATACAAAAAGATTTTTAAAAAATTAATAAATATATAATAAATTTTCTTTTATTTGAATAAAAAAAACTAAAGTAAATTTAAAATGCGGGAGTCGGAGTCGGAGTCGACAGATTTTGTCCGACTCCGACTCCTCTGGCCAGAAATTCCTCCCGACTCCACAGCCCTGGTAAGTATTGACTTGTCACGATTAGTGTCAATGAAATAAGGAAGTGTTACACAATTAGGAATTTAGTTAATTCCGACCGATAAACTTTTCATATAGTAAGATTTCGATACATTTTGTTTCATAAATGTTATTTTTAAACTCATTCATTTTCCAAAATATGCATCGAATGCACGAGACAAAGCGTGGAAAATTCCTGACAACTCATTTGGATTTCTGCTCTGATAATTAATACACCTGTAGATGTTTAATACAAACATACTTTATTATTACACATACAGTATGTAGAATATTATTACAATGAAAGGGTTATCATACACATATTCTACATACGTGTAATAAAGTATATTTGTATTAAATATTAAAAAACGGGATTAAAGGCTTATAGTTAAATCTTTAGATGTCTGGTGCAACTATCGAGTGACTAAAATTTGAAATTTTTGTAGTTAGCGATTATTATATACTGTACAACGATTTAGAAACTAAATCAAAGTTTTTTAAAACTTTTATCAATTTTCGAGCGCTAAGTACTGATCGAATTACAGAATAAATAGAAAAATTCGTTCTTTCATTTAGATTCGTATACGCCGTAAAACTATCGCCGCGGCAATGTGAAGATAATATCTATAGGCTTATTGATTTTTAACTTTTATAAATTGGCCTACCGTACTCTTCTAATTTGTATTTTAAATGCAACATTTTCGATATCGGCGGCTTCGGCGTTAAACAATTAAAAAGAAATGCAGTTTTGTTTGAATTTTACAGTAGGCTATTTAAATTATGGTCAATATGAGTTTTTCTCTCAAATCGAAATTTTATATTCGTTCGACTGGAAAATTCTGAACAAATTATTAAAAATAGCGAGCAATTATTTATTGTGACATCATCATAATGCGGGCTGCAATTTTTAATCTTATTATTAATTAATTTAATTTAAAATATATTCTATTTATCTCAAAGTAGTAGAACTAACTCCTGTACATTATAATTTTCTCAGAGTCCATAGATTCGTGCCAGTCAACCATCTAACACCTTTCGAAGAAAAATTTTTGAATTCAAGAAACATGACTTTCCGGTTTGCATCAGAAGTTCGCATATAAAAAGCACTAAATATTGAACAATGTTTCGAGGTACTGGATGCTTGTGCGCTTCAAGATACAAAAGAGTATATTTGCGAAAAAAGTAAAACTGTTGCCTGTAATTAATGCTTGAAAGGTTAGAATACCATTCCATCTTACCTCCATCTAATCCGTGAATAGCATCGATTTTTTCCCCTGATCACATTTTTTTATTCTCAATAAACTTAAATATCGACATCAAAATTTTACTGACAGACAACAAAAATGTTTTGACCACAATGGCGTCTATAAAATACTGACTCCCAGACTAAAAATTTGATTACACAACCACCTATGACAATGTTACGAGGTGTTCCGATTGTTTGCCGACAGATGCAAACACAAGAAGTATTAATCAGGGAAATATTTCAAGGTACAAGTTTCCTCTACGACTGCAGATATTTTGTAGTTTTTAATATTATTTAAATTGTTTGTCCGATATTAGAAGAACTGTTGGTAAAATAGATTAAGTTATTTTAAATTGTTTCGTATTTTGTTAGGCCAATTGTTACTCGTTTATTTCTTAGCGTGACTTTTCCTAAGGAAAAATTATTGGACTTACAAGTAAGTACAATAGAACTTAATAAAAAGCTGAAGAAATGAACAGTTAGAAAGGACGAAGTTTAGCCAACGTGTTAAAAATGAAAACATAAAAAAACAATTAATAAAATAAAAAATTTCAATTTCTCGAGCGTTATTTTAATGAAAAAGTTTTCAATATACGAACCGATTATTATGGAAAATTAAGAATTTTTGTTCTAAAAGCATGAGAATTTTTAATTTTTCATAAATAACAATAGTAGACTATTTTCTTAACATTTATTCTTACCCTTCCAAATAAGTACCATCAAAAAGAATATATTGATTAATTCATAGACGTAGTTGCAAACACGGACATATCGACGTTTAAAAGGAGCATATTTTTTAAAAATCTGATAAAGTTTATTCCGTATGTCGAAGCGAACATTACTAGACCAACTTTATGTTAAATCGATCTACATAAACTTTCTACTTTAACGAGGAAAATATTAATCTTAGAATTTAAAATACGCAAAACTTTTCCTAGAAAAAATAAACGGTGATTGGATGCGATCTATTGAGGTTATACCAACAACCGAACGAAATTTATTCGTGACGTTACGATTTATATTGACCTCTGCCACCGACCCCAAATTTATGAGTTTTTTTCTTAAGCGTAAAGAGGTCGACCGTTAGTAGACATTTCATTTATACTGTATATTCCAGGACTAATTCCAAAATTATTCCTTTAAATTTATATTTAAATATTTCCGTTTTCCTGGACGATTGCTTCTCCATTCGCTTTAAAATTGATTGAGCAATATGTATTCAATTATAAAAGGTAGAGGTACTGTACAGAACAGTACGTTCCGTAGTCTGGACGTCGACAAAACTTGCACGTTCGTTAAGAAAATAATGATTATTTTTTCTCTTGCAATAATATCCGCGACAATAGCTTCGTTAAAAATAATCTTCGTTCCAGCAAAATTTATCCAATCAAAAACATATTTTCTTTGTTTATTTTAAATCTCACAGAGAAGATATTTGTGTCATTGTTATAAAATACAAAATTATTTTATAACATTGTCGTTTAATTTTTTTAAAAATTATAATAAAACTTATTATTACTTGTTCGTTGACTTTAAGAAAGATTCGGAAATTTTGTACTTATAAAATTAGAGTAAATCGAATATAAATAAGTACCAAAATTGAAAAATGTGAAATACATTTTATAAATACTTTATAGAACGTGCAAAAGCAATTTGACGGGAGTAAAAAAGAAAAGAACCAAGGAAGGAAAATTTTAAGTACAGTACTGTATTTCGAATAGTTTTAAAAACTTACACAACGAATACTTTTTATTCTTTTTGTAGCACGGTAGTCGGATATTTAAAGTTTATTTTAATTTAAGGAAATTTAACTCGAAATAACGATTTGTTTCTATTCTTTGAATTTTGCGAGACAAAAACAAAAACAAAAGGATAATTTGGTCGCGAGGAAAAGAAAGTTATTCCTGGTTATTACGGCACCTCATTAGGTAATAAAATGACGCAGTTCCGTATCCTTGAGAATGTAACCAGACACCGTATTTATGCAGACGTCTTGAAGTACTTCTGTTTTTAACGCGGTGGCTCTCGGCCCCACTTTATAAACTGGATAACGAAATGAGTGAAAATAGCGGAGAGTGGCGATAACCTTCGACCGACGATGAAGCGGTGCGGAAACGGTTTACGTAAATGCTGTAGCAAGTACAAATTACTAATTATTATATTAGTCTTGTTAATAATTACTATAATCGCAGCCATCGTCGTCTGGGTTACTTTACGAAAACCAAAAATAGAAACCTTAGTAAAATCTAAACCCGAAATCAATGATTTTCGTCTACCTTCGAGTCTTACACCCTTGCGATACTACGTGTCGGTTCGACCTTACCTAACTCCTGACGATTGCCACTTCGAAGGAAACGTGGAAATTATAATGGAGTGCCAAGAGAAAACGGACTTGGTCGTTCTCCATTCGCACAATTTATCGATCGTCGAAGGAAGTATCGAACTTCAAAATTTAAAAGAAGGAAGCATCCTAAAATTATACGACGTTCAATACAAAACGGAGTTCGATTTTTTGATTTTGCAGTTCCGAGAAAATTTGCGAAACGGCTACCAATATCGTTTATCTGTAAGTTTTAGCGGAAAGTTAAGAACGGATTTTAAAGGATTTCACATCTCTTCCTATCTGGAAAGGAACGTCTCTCATATGTAAGTTTGTATTTTCGGACAATAGAAATAATTTGTAATTTTGCATCTAAATATAATCTGTGTTATAGTTTTTGCGATATATTTTATTTACGTTTTGCACCTTTGTCTAGAGACTAACGGAAATGCATTTTGTAGTAAAGTTATTTAAGAAGCATAAATTATCTGCAGGGTGGCTCTAACGCATTTCGAACCGTTTCACGCCAGAAAGACTTTTCCGTGTTTCGACGAACCCGCTCTGAAAGCCAATTTCGACGTCACGATCATAAGATGGAAAAATATGACTTCACTCTCCAACATGCCCAAATTAAAAACCATCGTTTGGTAAGTCGCATTGTCAATTATTTTCGTCGCGTTACCCTTCGAAGTGGCAATCGTCAGTTCGACAAATAAATTGTAAAGTAATCTTCGAAAAGTAACGATTCGTTCGTAATAAACTTGCTTTGTTATTTTAAGTTCATAATTGACTTTGCGGATGTATAGACATCTGCAAAGTCAATTATTACGATAGGAAAATAAATAAATAGGTCTACTTTTTATATAGAAAAAATAATGTAATAAATAGTTTCATTAGAATTAAAAAAGAATTTATAATAGAATTAATTTTGTAACAGGGACGACGACTGGGAAGCCGACATTTTTGATACCTCTGTGAAAATGTCTACGTATTCCTTGTCATTTTTTGTCGGTCGTTACGTGTCATCAAGAAATAACAAGGTAATGACATAACTATTTTCGAATTTATTTAGAATTATTAAGATTATTTGACTTAACTTTTCTTAAATACACGAAAAGTTTGAATTAATCAGATCAAACTCAAGATAATATTAAAAATAATATCAGTTTAATTTATTCCTAAGAAAGATGATTTCAGTTAACTGTTTAGTAATTTCTTCTAATTATATCGTTATTAATTATTAATATATGAAAAAATTTATAAAAACATGTTTAATAAAGAGGAACGTGTGAGTTTTTATAGCTAAGAAACATTTTATTCTGTAGACTGAATCATTTATCGAAACTTTTTAAAATTTGAATGGATTATAAACCAGCTAATTTCTATTAAAAATTGGGATTTATTTAACATCTGGGATTTGTGAATGTACTGTTCACAACGTATTGTATTCAGAAACATAGAATTTGTATAAAAATCTCGTGTATCTAAGTAATTATTATATTTATTATAATATTATAAACTTATTTTTATTTTTTCCTACTGATAATTGTTTAGATTATACATATATTAGATAAAGAAATGAAAGAGATTCGAGTTGACTTTGCATTTTAAATTTTAGTGAAAGAATAAAGTAAAAACGAATAATTTAGTTTATTTTTGTTTCGATTCGAATGTTGGTTTGAAGCAATTTTTTGAAATGTATTAAAAAATTCGTTGGTAAATAGAGTATAAACAATGGAAGAACTAAAAGATATATCTCGTACATTTAAAAAAAATTGGAGTTACTTTTTAATTTTTAAATTAAAATATTAAATATCTAATTTAAATAATAAAAGAAAATGTAGTGAATCCATTTCGACATACCAGAAGAATTAACGCCGCATTTAAAATGATAAAATTCAAAAGATTTTATTTAAAATATGTATTGAAAGTTTCGAAAGTATTAAATATTAGCAGCTTACCAAATCCAGTTATATCACTTAAAATGTATTTTCATAACACGAAATTGTTAAATGATAAAATTGAAATTACTTAAGGAAGTAAAAAAATTCAATATTTGTTAAATTTCCTTAATAAAAAGATACTGAAATCATCTTTTGAGATGAAAATTACGTCAGTGGTCTAATTTTAATATATTTGTAAGTTTGGTAGAGATTTCATATTAAACTACGATTGCAAAAAGATTCGATTGAACATGTGATTTGAATTAAAATTTATTGTTTGTTAAGAAAGCGTAATTTTTTTAAGCGTAAGTTTTTGTAAGGAAAACAAAAATGTGAAAAGTCGGATCAACTCATTCTTGGTAATACGAAACCATTCAATAATGAAAAAAAATGTTAACATATAATTAATATATGTTATGTATTCAGTGTTTTTTTAGTAATAGAGCTAATGTAATCGGCGAGTTTCATAAAAATGATAGATATTATTATTATTATTACAAGAATGATAGATATTAAGAGTTACTCAACGTTGTTGGTAACTCTTAATATCTAATGAATATTTACTATTACAGACTTAAATTATTACAAGCCAGATTATTTTTATTAAAAATTAATTAATCTACAATTATAATATATTTCAGATAACTGTGTGGTATCCACCGAAACATTCGAATTATTTAATTACCGCCTTGAATTTTGCGCCTAAATTTTTGAAATTTTACGAAGACGTTTTGAAAGTCCCTTATACACTTCCAAAATTAGGTGAAAAAATTTTTATCTGTAGATTTTTCACTTAAGATTTAAAAATCTGTGTCGATGTAACCTAATTATAGGTTATATCGACACAGATACTATAGAACATAATTAATAATGTAATTATTATTTTCTGGCTAATTTATTTATAAAATATGTTAAAAGTATATTTCATTAAATAAGTTATATGTTGCTATCTTTTATGAAAACAGTTCATACAAGATAGAATCGAATCTACATTCTCTGTATATTTGTTATTTTAGTTCTCCGCGACCAAAATCTAAATTCAGAATTAAAAATAATTACAGTCCTTGACACTATTTAATAAACTGATTGCGAGAAATACTAAAAACGTTTCATCTAAAAAAAATACATTTTTCAAAGTTTAAAAAAATTTATTAAACGATAAAAAATTGCAAATTGAGAAGACAAATTCTGAAAACGTATTACCAGATATCATCAAAAACTATTTCTGGGAGAAATATAAACTGACAAAAAAGAAAAAAATAGTTATATCGCAATATGCAGTGAATAAAGTACTATTTAATGAATATATTTCTCCACTGAATGATACCTTTCGCAAATTACTATAAAATTTTAATTCGATTCAGAGATTACTTAAAGAGGAGATTGATATATTGTATTTTATATTAATTTAGCAGGTTAAAAATTAAAGTTCTACCATATTGAAAGAATGTAGTTATCTAGTTGAAATTAGACAAATTTAATAAATTTTTTCTTTTATTGGAGAAAAAATGAAGTCTACGCAGAAAAACAAAGTTGCAATTACACTAACAAATTGTTTCTGAATCAAAACAGGGATTTTCATTAATATGAAAAGTCCTACTTTGATTCGGAAACGACAATAAATTTATTCATTCGAATAAACGCGGAAATTGCGAGAAAACATTCCGCCTCGCCGCCGTTTTATCCTAATACTGTATAACGTTTTTAAAATAGTATACAGTAAATATATTAGTTTCTAACTTTTCGTTAATAAGAGAAGCATTTCTCTTTAGTCTGTGACGATGTGTCTGCATTGAGCATTGCGTTTATTTGACTCGTCACTATTAAGATACAACTTTCTGAATTTCTTCAGAGTTACGTTTTCTTTCCAAAATTTATTACCTGAAATGTTTCTTAATTTTATTCGATCATTTTATTAAGTAACGTTAAGAACTGATAAGTAATTAATTGATGTATTTAAATTCGAACTTTATATTTTAAAATAATGTAGAACTCCGTTAAGAAGATTTTCAAGGGATCAATTTAAAATCTTCTTAAGCACAAATGAAAATAATATACCTTTTCTTTTCATAATCCACGTTTATTTAATTAACAACGTTCCTGCAACGAATTAGGCTTATACAGTATTTATTCATTTAGATATATGTTATATTTGTTCTAATGTAGTCTGCTTATCGATTATGTTAGGGGAGGAAAAAATACGTTTTATGGTTCCCAAGAAAAAACGCACCGATCTGCAAATACCAGGTATTTAATACGTTATTTGCGGTAAATTACTACAGAAAATATTTCTGAAAACTTATCGGTATCTACCATGTATTGATTGATAGCGCTTGTCAGAATTTGCTGCTTACTACAAGCCGTTGCCAGATAATTACGTAAAAAATTGTAAAATCCGTGTTTAAAGTAGTTCAAATCGCGTGCGTTGTATTATTTTTCCATGTGTAATAAAATATATAAAATTTTCGATAGGATTCAGTTGAAAAGTTTTAAGACAAACCATTTTCAGGTGGCGGATAAGGATTTCAGTTTACCAAGCGAAAAATTTTTTTACACGGGGACATTTTATATATATAAAATAACGCTTCTAGCCCACAACATTAATTTAGAATGAATTAGTTAGCGTAATAAATAGGGTTATAATAAATTGGATGGCTTATCACACCAGGAGCTGACTGGAATAAATAGACTAGATTTGAATATAAATCGCCTTTAATTAACCCCAATCAAATTTTAGTAGGAATGCATTTCGTGTACAAATTCCTGGTGTGATAACCCTCCAATTTATTATAAACCTATTTATTTATTAGGCTAACTAATTCATTCTGAAGCAAAATATGTTTGATGATATTTTACAATTGTTATGATAATTCTTAGTTCAAATAGAATCTGTTTCTTTAATTTTTTTTGTTTTTAAGTACGATTAAAAAACGGATAATTAATTATGAATATTGTTTTGATTAAAATAAATGACTGAATTTTTACCTGTAAATGTATAGATTTGGTGTCGGCTGATTGGCCTCATCGAGCTATGGAAAACTGGGGACTCATCATCTGTTCGGAAAAACTAATTTATAGTGAAAAATTTTCCTCTGGCTACAGGCAAAGAATTATTGCAAAAATTTTAGCCCATGAAACTGCGCACCAGGTAAACATTTTTATAAAATAAATCTTTGTTTTTGTTTATGAATAACTTTATTGACAACAGGAATTTCCGTTTTTAAATAACGAAATATTCGATTAAGAACGTATTTAGTCATTCAGAAAACATTCGTGCAAGCAATGTTATTCTTGTTATTCCTTTTCGTATTTCATATTTTTACAGATAATATGAACTACATTTAATGAAGCTTTCCGAGAAAGCAGATAAAAATATCACAATGTACTGTACAGTACATGTTAATTTCAATACATTTGTTCATATAGTTATAGTAAAAATTTGCAAATAAATTAATACGCACTGATTATATTTTTGTTGTTATAACCTATTGTTATTTGAGTGTTTTTAGTACTTACTATTAAATCTCAGAAAACCATATTGTCGCGATGCGATATTAATGGACGAAGTTCATAGGAACAAGGGAAAAAACAAACGTTATTAAATTAACCTATAAATCAGCAATTAATACCAATTGCTTTATTGTTTAATTTAAAATCTATGATAATGTGAATAATACATAGAAATCTCTTTCAAAACGTTCCAAAACTCGGAAGTCACGAACATATCGAACAATCGAACTCAAACAAAACATTGTAGATCGACTTTGCCAAATTGACTGAAAATATCGCCTTACAAATCCATACAGCAGCAATATAAAGCACACCTAAAAACGAACAAATGATTAATACAGTACAGTCTCGAAAACTCGGCCTAATGTGGACCGAAGGGTGGCCGAGTTTGTGAAAATGCCGGGTTATCGGGAATGGGGTTAAAAAAAAATAAGTATGAGTGTTTCCTCATAAAATACTGTACTGTACTTGTATGTATTGTTTACTTGAGAATACAACAGAGAATAAACTGCCCAAATACCCTTAAAAAAGGAAAAGTACGACCTTTATGAAGGCATAGAGCCTTTACTACATGAAAATGAAAATTAATGAATACACTGTGTACAGTAATTTACCTGATAAGACAGACCTCAGAAAAATACTTTATGAGGCATAAAGCTGTCTATAATGAAAATTAATTAACTAAGGATTTTTTTGCCCTGCCAGGGTGTGGCCGAGTTATCCGGACTGCCGGGTTATCGAGTGCCGAGTTTTCGGGACTCTACTGCAATAGAAATTTGAAGTCTTACATCCTCGATCGTCAAAATGCACATAGTTCTTACGAGTCGTTCTTCCATCTGCTCCAAATTTTTTATCATTCGTTTAATTAACTGTCTACTGATCATTTAATAAATATTATATATTTTATAAGTTATTAATTTTAAAATAAAATATTTAGAGTTCTAAATCTCAGAATTTACTCTTAATATACTACGTGAACCAATTAATAATTATTTCTTATTAAGAACTTATAAAATTAAAATAAGTGATTATACTTTCCTTGATTTTGTTCCTTTATATGGTATCCAACAAGATTCTATTCTTAGTGGCCTCTTCTTTTCAATATATTTAAATTAACTTCTCTGTCATCTTAAATCTCATATTATAGCTTATGCCGATGAGAAAATTAATCTGTTCTCTCCATCTGTCTTACAGTCTGATATCTATTTATTAATAAATATGTTTAAATCTGCAAACTTAAAAATTAATACAGAAAAAACAGTTGTTGTGTTATGCTTTGATTCGTAATCCTCCATTACTTGTTTTTTACATTGATTTTAATCCAATTAATTACATAATTTCTATTAGCGATTTAGGCATAGTTTTTAACACGAAACTTAACTTTCAAAAATCATTGATAAACTCGTTAAATCCTTGGCTATTAGACATAAAATTTTACAGCGATGTTGTAAGCCCATCTTTAATAAAAGAGTATTACATAAAATTAACATAGAAATATTTTTAATGCTAATTTTCAAATTTGCATTGATTATGGATTTCCCACCTGGTCAATGGATGCTCCTTCCCTTTTACACAAGCTTACTTCTAGTATTAATAAGATATACTTCACGTTTAACAAAATGTGTAATCTGCCTATCATTATTCACTCTAATATTGCTAGAATTCGCCTGGACTTTCCATCTTTCTTCGAGAGAATTAAATAATTTGATCGGTTAATATATTACAAATATTTTAATGGTCGTGTTTATCAAGATTGGCTTTTACTTCAAATTCCATCGAGAAAACTTCGCTCATTTATTTACGTTTTTATCCCTTTCTATCGTCTAAACCTATCCCAACGATTTTCCTTTACTGTGTATCACAAAATCATAATAATTTTGATGATTTTTACATCTTAATCGCTCTGATTTTAAATTTAAATGTAAAAAAGTGTATCTCTTTTTTAAGATTTGTTACCTGTTTTTATTTTATTTTGTTTTAAGAGGTGGTATTTGTTTTTAATATATTTTAAGAGGGCGGAAATCAAATGTCTATCCAGACTTTTCCTGTAAATTTAATAAAATGAAATGAATAAATTTGAAATATTCGTCAGATAAGATTCGAATTATTACTATTCTTTTTAAAGTTAACGTTTTAAAACTATTGCTACATTATTGACAACTCCATATTTTACAGCGAGCAACTATGTGTTTTATCTTACGAGTTAGATAAATAGTATTATAAGTGATGCAATTTTAATCAATTTTAATGAAATCAAATAAGCATTTCATTAAATCATTTGGTATAATTTTATCTCCTTAATTCTAATTATTTCATTTTATTTATTGTATACGAAATTAAAATTTACATTTACATTTAATATAGAGGAAGTTATAGCGAAAGGTATAAAGTAAAACAGGTAAATGCCGCATATTTGAAGTGAAACCCGTAGCTGTTGTTATTAATAGCAAACTAAAGTACTACTAAAAATATGACTCTCTACGCTTGCTTTAGAATAATTCATCAGTTCGATCTGTTCAAGAATTAGTTAAACAATTTTATAATTCTCATTAAAAACCATATTACGCCCGCGTAGTGTAATGGAATTATTGTGACATCATGCAGCATTTCGCAATGAAATCGAAAATTCTCATCCAAAGAAAAGCATTTAAGTAATGTAACGAGTTTCTTAGTAAATTACACAGTAATGACGTTTATGATGCAAACTGTGAAATAAGATGTAATGCGACTTGGATGTTGAGCAAACATCATATTAAACAGGATGTAAAAAAACATTTCACTAGTCCATATCTTGCTTCTGTTACGTATTAACTAAATACAAGCTTCTCTGCACGGACTTGAGCACGCGAGGCGATACGGAAAAGCTTCACACGGTTTACTGTTAATCATTCTTGACGTTGTCTAGCCGCTTCCCCTTTGAGTATTTTAACCGAACAAAAATTTTTTATAGCTTGGTGCAAAATATACCCTGTATATTTACTGTACTTAAGTTTTCAAACCTCTATAGAGTACTGCAGTGCATCTATGTCGACTAAATAGCAAGATACTATCGGTATACATACAGTATTAACAAGTTCCTCACCATCCGTATTTTTCCATCTGGTTAAATCAAATGTTCTCTAAAATTTTCAGTGATCAAAATTCTCCGTTTCCCAATTACAGTGGTGCCTCGAATAACGGACGCTGCGAACAACGGGCTTTCCGTTTGGCAGTTACGTGAGGCGAACAACAAACTCTCTGCGAACAAGTGCGAATGATATTTTCACTCTTTTGCCGTTGCCAATGACAATCTGCTATTTTTATAATATATTAGTATTATTAGAATATATTATTAGTATATCTGAAGTACAGAGCTCTCATTGGGATTCGGCTTGCTCCCTTGTTTATTACGTACATCACCTCAGTGTAAGATATTTACATTTATTCAAGTATTGTGCAAATCATGGCTTATAAAAAACAGAAAGGTGATTTCAATTGAAACAAAGCAAGAAATCATCAGAAGGAGTGAAAGTTGACAAAAACTTCCTTGTCAAATGGGGAGAGGTTCAGGAGTTTACCAACACTCATTATCCAAACAGAGCTGAGGTCAACAGGATCAATGATCTCTACAATGACACCCTTGCCCGTCATCTCCGACAGGTGTTGAAGAAGAGAGAGAAACAGATCACCTTGAACATGTTTTTCAAAAAGCCAGCAGGCAAAAAACAAAGGATGGAACAAGAGGAGTTGACTCTCCGGTAGCCTCTCCTGAATCTGACTCCGATTAAATAACAATAAAAAGAGACCTGCTGCAATGTGTAAAAAGTCTGTATCTGTATCAATGTGTGAAGAAAATGTTCCTCCACCTCCTCCTCACAACATCTGATTACCCGGCATAATTGGTGACTGCCCCATTTTAATTTTTTTTATGGTACAGTATGGTTATTTCATGCTGCTGAACGAATTATGTTTTAACATGTATACCTATGGGAAAATGCGTTTCGTATAATGGATTTTTCACTTAACGGACGTGCACCTGAAACGGATTAAATACGTTATACGAAGCACCACTGTATATAATCTTATTCTCTTATAAAGTTATGGGACTACCGACTTATAAGAGATCGGACGTTACCTGAATAGACGTTATATAACGCATAACTGAAATTTGGTCGAAATTTTATTTCCTATTAAAAAAGTTTTCTGATAAAAGTATGTGACGTATTTCATTTCCCATCAAAGACTTTTATACAGTACATACTCAGATAACATTGAAATCAACATTTCAATAAAAATTAATCAATTTATGAACTTTAAGCTTCGCCACCAATTTTATGTTTATGACTAAAGTTTTTTATATATAAGCCCGCAAAATTTCAAATAATAATTAAAATAGTACTTAAACATTTATAAAATTATAATTTAGATTTTTTAAATTAAAATGATGTTTTCTTAAAATTAATTTTAAATGAGATATATTAATGTATTTGCGTCTAGTGGTTCGGTAATCTAGTAACTCCAAAATGGTGGAACGATATTTGGTTAAGCGAAGGTCTATCGACTTATATGGAACACGTAGCCACCTCCGCCTTCTTCCCCCAATGGAACAAGGTAAGAGAAATGTCTGAAAAATAAGATTGGTTAACACACGACTCGAGTGGTTGCCAAAGTCTTTCTAAACCTAAGTACAGCGTCAATCGTACATTAATTAATTTTCATTTATAAAAGACTGAATCAAAAATTATTTTAATTGACAGTTAGGCAAATGTTTTTGCGTTTTTATATAATTTGTATGTAATAAAATAAATAAATGTAAAAAATATTAGTTTATGAAGTTCGCTTTGTTAAAACTCGAAGATAGAGTGAGAAGATTTATAGAAATAAATCAGATAAAAAAGAATATTTAATGAGATTTCTATTTGATGACAGTTTTTTAAAATTATTATTTTTAGGTGGACAAAACTTTAGTTTTGGCAGCTAAAGAGTTATATCCGAGAGATTGTTTGGACGAAGTATCGGCAGTTTCTAAATCGTATAATTTAGAAAATTCGTTATTGGAGGAAAGTTTTGACGTTTTCACGTACATAAAGGTGAGAAATATGTACAATTTATTGCATATTACGGATTATCCAAACCGTGTCGAAATAAATGGAACAATACGCAATGAAAAGTACGATACGTGTGTAATTATAAATATTGACACTCTCCTTATTATTTAGGTTTATTGATAGGACAGTATTATAGATTTATTCTCTTTATAGGTTTATTTATAACAAGTTAAAAATGAATTCTATGCGATATTTAATTTAATATTTTTTAAATTAATCGACAATTTGAAGTTATATAAGCCTATATAAAAGGAATTGCTGAAAACAAAAGTAAAAAATAATTTCTATGTGAAAACACTTGAATCGCCAAAATAAAACAAACGAAAACAATTCTAAAAGATGTTCGAACGACATTTACTTATAAAGCAAACATCCGATGCCTTTGTGTTCGAAGACATTTAAATTATTATAAAGTCGTCAATTAAATTTTCTTACTTTATATATTAACAACGTCTTCATATGCAACAGAAACTTGCGTATAGACTATATACAGGCAGACAGTCAATAGACAGATATTAAAGTTCTACACAGTCTTATAGATTAGATAAACAGGATAGATGAAAGTAATTCCTTTCGTTTTACAGTCTTATTTAGAAAGAACAATCGAGCATTTAAGTAGTAATTTGACTCTCTAAATTAGTATTTTATTTTGGATCGTGTCAAGAATATTTTATTTTGCATCAAAAGATTGTTATTACTGTATTCGTCAAGCAAAATGTTACACGTAGGCCTATACGAAGTTCGTGAAGTTTACCTAATGCGATTTAATTAATAACAGAAAATTTTAATATTTTCAAACGTGAAAGGTCGAATATAATATCATTAACATCAAAATACACCAAGAATTAAGTCATATTTTTTAAAATAGATGTCAATTGCCAGTATACACACAATAATCGTTTCGTTGTGTTTCAGGGAGCCGTTGTTACTCGGATGACGCGTCATATTTTCGGAGATGACGTGTTTTGGAAGGCCTTATCGGTAAGATTTTTTTAGAATTCAAGTGCCCGTTGAATGAAAGAAGACCGATTCATTCCTCACTCTCCTCTTTGATAAGAAAAAGATCAAATTGCATTTTCTTAAAAATAATAACTGCAAAAGGATTTAAATTGTTTTTTTCAATACGTGAAAATTTTAAAAAATAATGTTAGATTCTCAAAGTAAGCAAATAAGCAAAAATCAGGCATGATTTTAAATAAATTAAATGCTATTTAATACTATTTAAAATGTAATTTGACAGATATCTACGCGAATGAACTTTTCAAAATTTATTAATAAAATTTATAATTTTCAGATATATTTGAAAGAAAATTCTTTTAAAAATGTGGAAGAAAAAGATTTTTGGAATTACTTTATTAAGGTGAATTTATAAGTATTTATAGGCTACGAATTACGTAAAACCTGTTAAGTCTGAGTTGTCAGTCGTTTATCATTTATGAAATTTATTCTAGGAAAGTAAACATGTATTATCGAAAGGAGGAAAACTGGATTTAACGGAAAGTCTGTCGACTTGGACCAAACTGAAAGGCATGCCAATAGTTACTGCGAATACGAATTACACCGAAGGAACTGTTTTCTTATCGCAGATTTCGTGCAGAGCAAAAACCTCAACTGAGCATAAAAGGTAAATACAAGAATAAATAATTTTTAATTATTTCATCATTGCAAATGCATATTATCAAAGCTATATACACAGAGCAAATAAATTTCGTTAATTTAATTTATTATTTATTTTTTGAATTGACGTGTTTTAAAATCAATTTATTGATAGAATAATGATTTGTTACTTTTTAAACAATTAAATAAACTGAACAAAAGCAATAAGATAAGAATAATCGTAGACTTTTCACAGTTTTAAATATTTTGTGATGTTTCCTGTTTTTATGTTGTAATTATATAATTATTTCAAAAATTCCAATATATAAATGGAGTGTATTGCATTTGATACCAATTTTACGAAAATAAATTCTATATGTTCGTCTACTTTCTCAAATTTTGACAGCATTCAATTGACATATTTCAAGTAAAATCTTTATCTGAATACGTCAACTTGTAGAAGTAACTAAAGAATTTCAATTTATCATTATCAGTATCTTTATTAAGAAAACAAACTGATAAATTAATATGTTTTGTACAGTACTTTAAAGATGTATTTATAGAATAGGGAGGGATAAAAATTCTCATAGTGAAATATTCGTCCGGAATTAGAATAAGAGATAAAATAAAGAATAAATTAGTGGATACCTTAGCTAATTGTTACAATTTCAGCTTAACATTTTTTTTTCATAATTTTCCTACTGTATTCGAACCAGAATTCTTTGGACGCTAAATATAATTTTTCCGATCAAATATCTGTATATTATAAAATTAAAAATCTTGAATATTTAGAACTCTTTCAAATGCAGCAACTTACCTACAGTAATCAAATTGTTACACCAAATTGTTTATATAAAAATCAGACATTTAGGCAAAATATTAAGGGAGAAAAACACTAACGTATGACACTTTTTAAATGATCAATAAAATTTCATGAAAATGACTTTGTGGATATCTACAGATGTCCTGAGTGTTCATCTACAGATTTTCCTTTTCTTAAAATATTGTTCAAATAAGTTTTGGAAGATATTTACTAGCTAACCGACTAAAAACCGGCTAAACCAGATTGTAAAATGTGAATCGACAATACTTTCCTTATTCTTTATTTTAAAAATTCTACACATTCAAATGAAATTAGCAGTCGTTTTGTCGGTTATTTTGATCCTCTACATTTGGGAACAAGAAAATCGACTTCTCGACTATTATATTATCATTCATTCTAAAGTATTTTTATTTAAACTGCAAAACGTTTTAAATAATTTCAGAGATTTGTGGCATATACCGATATCTTACGCAACTTCTTTATCTCCGAATTTTCAAAACAATTCTTCGAACATCAAATACTGGTTGACGACTGTAAATGGTAAGAAGTAACTTTATTTTTTCCTTTAAAAAGTGAAATAACAACACTTCAAAATTCGAAAACAGTGCCGAGACGTTTGACGATACATGAAAGAAAGATTACTCAAAATCTTGTTTCGAGAGAGACTATATTAAAAAAGCTAAAATTTAAAAACTTATTAATTAAATAAAGGGAGATTTATTATTGGACTATACCTTCGTTAATTAAATATATAGGTATTATGTAATTTGGTCTAAAGATAGACGATTATGTCGCCATATTGTTTTAAATCGATAATTTTTCACTTTTCCTGCACCCGGCCTTTATATTAGAAAGTAAAATGTCATTTTAATCTTTAATCTTAATGAAATTTATTTTAATAAAAGCACAAAGCCAATGAATACAAGATCTTTTCGTCTCATTAAAAAAAGGCATTCTCAGTTATTAGAACAACGGAACAACAAGAGCAGTTTTTAAGGAAAAAAAATTTAAAAATAATTTTCAACTCGAATGCTACAACAACAAATTGATATTAGACTACTAATTCGTAGATTTCATACTTTATGTTACAATAATTTTTAAAAATATTTTACTTCATACAAATATTTAGATGTTGACTAAATTCATTTTAAAGCCTGCATGACTTCCGTTAATACATCACTAAGTTTGGAAGCTGCTCGAACAATATTAGCCAAATTTAATATACTCATACTGCAGTTTCACGAAGAAAAAGCTCTACTAAATTATCTGTCGCCTTTAGGAGTTTTGCCGAATCCTCACAAATGTTACAATCACTGGTCGAACAAAATATCGTCAAGAATTATAACATTAAATGTCAAAGTAAAAGCGATAGAGAAGTTTGTAAATATTCCGTTCGGTTTAAAGTGAGAAAAGTGTAGATTTGCGACCCCGACAAGAAATCGTTCCCTATTGTAAATTTAATCCGTCGCAATTATAGATTTCGCAGTTAAGCGTTGCAGAGAAGGCAAAAAGAAAATTGTTAATGTTAAAATATCTTACGAAATGCGAGAAGTAATGTAAGAAAAAAATATTTAGCTCTCTTCGAAGGCATTCGTCGTGTCTGAAGCCTAAATATGCCTCGAAATAGTTTGCATAAAAATTCTAAAAATAAGTTTATTATTAATACAAAGTTAATGATACAGAATCCGTAAATTGTTAACATTTAACAAAGTGCTAATTTCTTGTGACAATAGCTACGATGGAAAACGTATTTATGAGCAAAAGTGGATGGTTATTGCTCAACGATCGGAGCCAAGGCTATTTTGTCGTCAACTACGATTCTAGGAACTGGAAACTCCTGGCCAAACAACTAAAAAAAGATAATAAGGTGGAAGTATTAGTATTAATTATTCTTCAATTTATTAACTATTTAAAACATATTAAATAACAATTTCTCTTTTAGGTATTCACACCCGATCAGCGTTTCAAATTACTGGCAGATGTTGCTATTTTACTAGAGTAAGATATACAAATTACAGTAATTCATTTTACAATATACTCATATATTAGAAGGCACGATGACATAAATATATAATTTTCGGTATTGGCCTTCGCAGATTATTATATGATCAAAACTTTTACTAATTATATTTTAGTACAGCGTACAATCTGTAAGCTTATGAGCTAGATTAATGAACATTCTAATCGTATTGAAATTGTTTTATGACAGAGTAAATCGGTCTTGTGTTATTTTTCTTAAAAGTTTTAGTAACATTAAATGTGAAAAATAACACATGTAAATCATATTTTAAAACTTAGTTTGAACTATTTGGACTGGGATCTATCGTTGGATGTATATTCTTATATCGGCAACGAAAATGAATTATCCGTTTTGCAATTTGGAGTTTTCGATCGTTTGCAAAAATCTACCGAATTAATCAAGCATAATGAATACGAAGACGTGTGGAATGTAAGTATAAAACGAATGTCATCAAATTCCTAAACTTTAAACTAAGATAAAATAGATAAAAGTCGCTGAACTTATACTTAGAGATTATATTAATAGTTCTTTGAATATTTTAACAAGTTTAGAAAAATTTCGAATATTTTAATTGTGAATAAAGTTGCATTTTCAATTAAAAGCTATTAAAAATTTCGTTTTCTGCTTCTAATTCATCTAATTTTTATTAACATTATTTTAAAAAATCGATTATGTTTATGTTGAGCATTACGCCGCGCTCAATAATATGATAAAATCACGAAGAATTAACTTTTTTAAGGATACTAACGAGACTTTCTTTTAATTGATAACTTTAGTAAAGCCCGGCAGCATGATTAACCTACTGCCAGGCTTTACCAAGCAAGATCAAATCTGCTANATTATATTTAAAAATTGTTATGTTTACTCATTTGATGTCTTTTTAGCCATGTAAGATATCAGTTTCTACTAAGTATTAAAGACGAAACCGAAGCTTACAATCCAGTAAAATATGACAAGGTAATTGTAATATAAAATAAATATTTAAATTCTTAACAGAAGTAATAATTGATTTATAGTAAAATTTTTGAGATTATTTTATGTCTAACTTGTAAGTTAGGTAATATTTGTGATTTACACAAAAATGGTCAAGATAAAATATTAATTATTATTAATATAAAAGTATTCCACTTTCTAAGTTTAAAGAGAATTTTTATAGGAATTTTTACCTAAACGGAAAATTGTACAGTCTGTCGAAAGACGTTTTATTCTGAGTAATCCCAGAGAAAATGATAATGGAATTCTTAATCGACATTCGGGTGGCCTGGCTCAAATATTGGATTCATTCAATTCTCAGTGGTGTACCGAGAAATTTCGCTAGTTTGGGAGAGTTAGGCAAAATACACCCTGATAATTATCAGATAAATATAAACGTTCTTTTAATAGAAAAATGAAAAGAGTTTTAAGTTTTAAACAATATGTCAAAAATTGTCTTGAATTTACAATGATATTCAGAATAGTGGTGTTAGCATCTATCATTTAGAAGATATGATATTTAAGAGTTAATTAAACACAAAGGAAAATAAATCAACTGTTTTTATCGTATTCGACTGTTTTAAAAGACCGGGCAGTAGGGTTTAACCGGATGTTATTAAGATGACTCTAGATTATTAGTGATGCTGCTTTTATGTATGTTGTTAACTTGGACATTTGATCCGATTGGGAAAGACGATAAACTTGAAATAAACAATAATAATATTGATAAAAAATATTGACTAAAACATTTTGCACACATTCATGTTATTTAAATTTCAGAAATATATCTGAGCCCTGTTACATAAAGATTACAGAATATAAGCTTTTAATACTTTTAGCTTGTAACAAGTACTGTACTTATAGCTTCTAACTGATTATAAGTATCTATGTGCAATCAAAATCGTTTACGACTAGGTGCTTGTAACTTGTTACAAAATTTTTCATTCAACATAATGTATATTGCTTGTAATTTATAACATGTAAAGTTTTTTTCAATTGCAAGCGTTTTTATGCAGCGAGATCCTGAAATTACACTTCTATTGAATCATATTATTCAATGATTTTTCGAAAACACGAGAGTCGAATAAGAGGAATAAACACGAAAGTTATACTCTTGTGTTTATTTCTCTTATTTTGAAACCATTCTTTTCTGGTTTTTCTCAGTTTTATTCCTTTCTCTCCCTACAAAACGCCCATCTCTGTACTTATAGTAGGCCTATTAATGAATTTAAAAGGTTTTAACTGGTAGGCCTAGGCCTATTCATTATTCTATTTCTGTTTTAATTTTTATGCAAAAATTAAGCTATGGAACGTCTTATTTAAATAACAAATTAAGAAAATTGAAACCATTAACTTACATGAAAATAAAAATAGAATTTTTCATTATATATCACAATTAATACGTTTCAAATTAAATTAACAATAGAATTTTTCGCTTTCCGATATTTTAAAGTAAATTAATGTATCTTAAATAAAAATTTGAAGTAGCATTCAGTCCTACATTGTAAAGCTCTTTATATGTAGTACAAAGTATAATGTAAATATTTTATTAATGTCTTTGTAAAATTGCAGAGGAGAAGCGTTGTACGAAGATACGGTTTTGTGTATGGGCATTAAATACGGAACTCAGGAAACTTGGGAAGAATTTTACGATGAAGCCGAAGACGAAGAAGCCATACTTTCGGCTCTCACTTGTTCCGAGGAACCAGAAAATATTCAAAGGTAAATATATTTGTTATCCTTAGAAATTGCAGTTTCGTTATCGATTTAACAATTTTCTATCGACGTTAACCAATAGTAAACGAATGACGATAGACGGAAATAAATTTTCTATTATCCAAAAATGTTTGAAGAGAATATGAAAAATGTACTAATGTACAAATAATGTACTTTCTATGTTTTTGGTAAATGGATAGTGCAAATTAATGAAAACTTTAAAAACTTCGTAAAAGACCCTATATTATGTGGGTACTGCTGAGGTCACTGTCAGTTGGCAATCACGATCTGAAGCAGAAATGCTTTTTCCAGAAAGATACCGTAATATTAATATCAACCACAAAACATTGACAATGTAGGGGATGACAAGTAGACGGAAATTTTATTTTTTATTAAAACAATTATTAATATGCTTGAAGCGAGATGAGAGTAATAATTGCAACTTTTTTAAAAACATAATTAATTAATATATCATTTTTCTAGACATATTATTTTAATTAACATTAAAATAGACTCACCAGTGACTAAATGGATAAAACCACTAAACACTGGTCGAGGTTTCGCGTCTGAACAATCGGGCTGACAGCATGGAGTTTACTGGGTGTTTTTCACGTGACTAGCACCCGAATAGGAACCAGTTTCCCATAGAAAGACAGTTCGGGAGACCCCCTTTGCCATATCTATCAATCAAATCATTAAAACATATAATGGTACTTTCTGTATACACTTTGTATATTCATAATGAAATGTTTATTTTCCAATATTTAAAAAAAAACGAAGAATTATTGATGAATAAATCTACGACATTTTATTATTTAAGAAAAATATATCATTTTTAAATAATAAAACTTTCAAGATACTTTTAACGATTAAAGACATACATAGAAAATTGAGATCCTTATACTTTCGTCTTTAAGAGAATGCTGATAAATAATTTTACGTTCAATTAAATTATTTTAAAAATCATGCGAAGCTTTAGATTAAAAGAGTTTTTTTTTTCATTTGAAATGTTACAGGTTATTAGAAATGGTGTACGAGGAAAATGACATTACCAAATTTGTGACTGTAGTACAAGGTATTCTTCGAAACAGTAAACTATGGTTCACTTATTATGATTTTCTAGACGAAAATTTTGTAGATTTTGTTGAAAAGTAAGAAGCAATTAGTCTTAAATGAAGTTAATTATATTTAAAAATTGTTATGTTTACTCATTTGATGTCTTTTTAGCCATGTAAGATATCAGTTTCTACTAAGTATTAAAGACGAAACCGAAGCTTACAATCCAGTAAAATATGACAAGGTAATTGTAATATAAAATAAATATTTAAATTCTTAACAGAAGTAATAATTGATTTATAGTAAAATTTTTGAGATTATTTTATGTCTAACTTGTAAGTTAGGTAATATTTGTGATTTACACAAAAATGGTCAAGATAAAATATTAATTATTATTAATATAAAAGTATTCCACTTTCTAAGTTTAAAGAGAATTTTTACCTAAACGGAAAATTGTACAGTCTGTCGAAAGACGTTTTATTCTGAGTAATCCCAGAGAAAATGATAATGGAATTCTTAATCGACATTCGGGTGGCCTGGCTCAAATATTGGATTCATTCAATTCTCAGTGGTGTACCGAGAAATTTCGCTAGTTTGGGAGAGTTAGGCAAAATACACCCTGATAATTATCAGATAAATATAAACGTTCTTTTAATAGAAAAATGAAAAGAGTTTTAAGTTTTAAACAATATGTCAAAAATTGTCTTGAATTTACAATGATATTCAGAATAGTGGTGTTAGCATCTATCATTTAGAAGATATGATATTTAAGAGTTAATTAAACACAAAGGAAAATAAATCAACTGTTTTTATCGTATTCGACTGTTTTAAAAGACCGGGCAGTAGGGTTTAACCGAAAATACTAAGTTATCAAAATGTGTGAAATGTGAAGGGGTTAATAGATGATCGGCACGACTCTATTGCTAAATTGCAGCCCTGCATTGTGACGATATTCTGTTTTATTAATAATTATTAAAACATTTAATAAAACAATAATTTTATGTAATTCTATTTACTATTTATATTATATAAAGTAATTAAGTTTATTAGGAATTCGAGATATTCGAATATTCCCGATCTGATTAATATTCAAATTTGATAAAAGTGACATTCGTTCATCTCTATCTTCTACAAAAGCATTGTTTACTTTTGTAGTTGATTTCTACGTGTAAGAAAAACATCGGAACTTCGAAAAAATTGAGAGCTAAAGCGAGAACTTTGTTAAAATACGACGACGATACTGTATCGAGGATGAATAACATGTTAGATAAAACTATCCATTGGCTGAAAAATAAATCTTGGATTGAGAAAAATTAGAAGGAAAAAAAAAATGTTTGAGTAAGTTTAATTACTTTTTTTTCTATTATGAGCTTCAATAAAATGTTGTTTATATATTAATGTAAATTATTTATCCTTTCAGCTTTCATAGAGGAGTATTTTTGTGTATTGCTTACGTGTATTACTGCCTTATTCGTATTTTTTCGAAGTAACAGCCTTTGTGAAATGTAGTCAGAAAAACAGAAGGATGCGGAAGAGAAGGATAAAAAGTCGGATCGGTTGAAAATTCTGACGAGTCCGAAACCAGAAGAGCTTTTAGCAGTCTCGCAATTTCCCCTTTTCGTCCAAATTTTTGTTTCTTTTTATGGTAACATAAAACAGATGATACCATTCAAAATATCTGATATCTATCTAACATCAAAGAGGTAGAATATTTTTATCCTGCAGAATTTTATTATTCATAAAAGTTATTAATGTAAAACCGAAACTATGTCGTTACTATTGTGTACGAGTAGGGGAAGGTGGGGCAAGATGAGAACGTTAAGGTTTGAAAAGTCATAAGATAGCAACCACTTTAACGAGAACAATAATTTTTTTATTCTCAGCAACTACAGCATTTGGTAATATATAATACAAAATTTGATTTTTGAAAAAACGTTTTTAAAAACAAGAAAATTTAATATTTTAAAATTATATGTAAATGCACCATCTAGCCCCACCCGTGGGGTAAGATGGGGATATTATTTTTATATACAAGGACAGATTAAAATGGTTAAACTGTCGTTTTCTTCAATATTGGCACAAGAACAGTGTGCCCATTTATCACAACGGCTACATTTAGCCCAACTCTCTGTAAATACAGAGTATGATCCTCCACAATAGAGGCATTCTGTTTCATTTGTCTTTTGTTTTTTGTTAGGCCCACCCTTGCTGAAGGGGCCTGTTTGTCGTCTCTGCAGCAAAAAAGTCTCCCTCCGAAAATACTTCTAAATTCATAGGCCATATTCATGGTTAACCTGGGGCTAGACGGGTACCCCATCTTGCCCCCAATGTACACTTTCCATACTGACTGCAAACACAGGTAAACTTCATTTCAAAACTAAACAATTACAGTCTTAAAGGTTACTTCGAATACCATAATATCTTCATCTAAAAGGTAATGTAAAAGTTCAAAATTATACTTTGTAGAAATTTTTTAGCAGGCATAAAATTAGATGAAGTATTGCTGAAACATAAAAAGATATTTTACTTCCAAACAAAGAGAGCGATTTGGACGTTCTCTCGCTCCATGATCCCTTTCGAGGTAGACATTTAGTTCCCCAAATAACAGCTAGATAAAAGAACATTAACCACAAATAAACAGACGTCCCCCGTCTTACCCCATGATCCCATCTTGCACCACTTTCTCCTATGTTAATTCATTAATCAGAATGATCGATTCCTGATTGAAAATTATCATCATCGGGAGAAAAATCGAACAATACTTGTTCGAAGCATTTCGATTTCGATTATCGTTCCTTTTTCGATGATTTAGATTTGAATGTTTTAAGATTAAAACGAAGAGAAACTTTTCACAAAACTATAGTCTTGTTTAAACTCAGCGCACAATTTTAAGACAATCTCCAGGAAAAAAAAATGTTTATCATCAAATGTATTCCATAAGAATTGTGACATAACATTATCAATATTTATATCGGTTTTCGTGAATTATTTTCATAACGACAATTCATGATATTCGACGACCAAAAATTAAATTTGAAATCACGGAGAGCAAAGAATGGGTCAAAAGTTTATTTAAATGTATTCTTACGCATTAGAAAGAAAGCATATTGTGACTAGCAAATATTTTACACATCTTTATTGATTTTTAAACGAGAAACAACTTGAAACTATTTTCATTTCTTGTTGTTCGCTTTTTTATTCGAAGATAAATTTTTTTTACACCACAAGTATTAGAGAGTGGAATCTTTCACTCAAGACGTCTCAAAATGTCATAAGGACATTTTATCAGATCGAATTGAGCTTTGACGTGGCATTTTCCTCACGAAATTGTAAAAATTGTAAAAATCACACCTTTAAAATGTAAAAAAAAAATAATAAAAGTATTATAATTTATGCTTTAAATAACATAAATCATTTTGCAAATCGTTTTTATATTAAATAATAAGTATATAAAATGTAATGTTTTTACTTTTATAAATAAATTTTGAAAAGTCAAATGTTTCCATTTGAGTGTCTTCCAACAGCTTAACAATAGTCTTCAATTTATTTTTTTAAATTAGATCTTTGATAATTTTTTAAAAATTGAATTTAGAATCGTAATCCATAAGGTACAAGAGTAAAAAAAAATATGAAGATAATTAATCTATTAATTTTTCCGAATTTTAAGAGTGAATTAATTATTTATATCAAGATAATTAAAAAATAATTTTATGCATTATATATATTGTTAATTATGAATATCTATTGGCTGTATACATCAACGCATTTAACCTATAAACTATCCTATTTTACAGCATTTTAGACGCAATTTTTTCCAAAAAAAGGCTTAAAAATTCTTGTGATTTTCTGTAGACTAATGAAATCCCCAAACGGCCTTCGGTAATCTAAAGGTGACTTGTACTTAACTCAACTCTAGAACTAAAATGTTTTTAACTAAACATAATATTATTATTTGTTATAACTAATCTGAGTTTGCATATATTCATGTTGAATATTTTAATTGTAAACGTTTTCTTTTAAACTGTTTTTCCCAGATAAAATTGTGCATTCTAATTTTGCTGTTTTTGCCCAGAATACAATAAGAAAAAATCAATTGTGGCCGAGTGCAAAATGAAGAGAATGAATTGATTAAATATTAAATACACGAAATACTTTTTCCGTAAATATTCTGTGCTGAGATTGGGACATGTCTTATATACCGTGAAATACAATACTTACGAATTTTCATGTTTTAGAATTAAAGTTGGAGTACTCGTTGCACCATTAGTTTTTATCTTAACTCTCGGATAATTCTGATATCAAAGCCTACCTTTGGATTAGGTGAGGTTGTTTTTAAAGAGTAAGGAAACAGACTTTATTCCATTCTCTGAAGAATATCCTCATAAAAAAATAGTTCTCCGTATTTATAATTTTAATACCGTTAAGTTCACTGATATGTGTGTATGCCTCCAAACAGAGTTCGAGGAAGAAGGAAAGGCTAACTTTTAAACGGAATTATATAAAATGGTAGTGGGGATATCGGAGAGTGAGAGTTTAATCTTTAGAATAATTTAAATGGATATGTGGAAACATGTAAAAAGCGGGAAAGACAAGTGCACGATGGATGAGTATAGGATGAGAGAAATAGAAAGAGAAAGATAGAACAGTGGAATACCCAGTAGCGTTTGTCCTGGCAATAGTCAACACTAACTTCGAAAAGCTTATAACTTAAAAGAATGGATCCCCACTCTTGTATAAGTTGATAGGGATAAGCCACTTGACTAGTTTAAGTATCGCAGGAAATATCTTAAAGAAATTAGGGATTCTAAGGCGATTAACGGAGTAGGTGCAGCTACACAACATAGACTGGTGGTAATTGATTGGGTGCTAATAGCTGACAAAAATCCAGAGACATCCAGGACAAATAAAACAAAAGATAAAGTGGTAGAAATTGAAAGAGGGTCAGCTGAGCAGAGAGATTAAGGAAAAAGTGCTTGGAGGAATAAAGTTACTATAAGATATACAGAGAGCTCAATAGACATATTAAAAAGAATGTTGAAGAGCTGTTATTGGAAAAACATCAGAAAAAGGACCACCTTATGGAAAGAAGGCTTGGTGGTGGAACGAGGAGACGCAAGCTGCAATAAAAGAAAAGAAGGAAATGAAAATAAGATGGAAAATGACAGATAGCAGGGAAGATAAAGAAACATATAAGTTAGTAAACAAAAAAGCAAAATATGCTTTGGTAACATCAAAGAGAAAGGCAGTGGATAAGGCCTAAGAGGAATTGAAAAGAAAAGATGGGAATAGGCAGCTGATAAGAATTGCAAAAGTAAGGGCATCAAAAGACAAGGCATCAAAGGATTTCACATCAATAAAAATACATAAAAGATGAGAATGGTAAAGTGTTACAAGACCAAGAGAAGACAAACGAAAAATTAAATAACTATCTTAGGAAACTAATGAATGAGGAAAATCCAAGAATGCTATGTAAGGACGGGGAGGCAAATGAAGGAGCTGCAGCAGATATAAGCAAGAAGGAGGTGAAAAGAGTACTTATAAAAATAAAGAATGGGAAAGCAACAGGAGTTGATCAGATCCCAGTAGAGATATGGAGATATTTGGGCGAGGACGGTTTTGATATTCTTTGTGATCTTATGAAAAAGCTACGGCAATAAGAGAGGATACCGGATTAAAGTTTTGGTGCAAATTTATAAAGGAAAAGGAGATGTTCAGGAATGTGGCAATTCTAAAGGAATTAAATTGATGTTACACTCAATGAAGATTTGAGAGAATTGTAGAAGGAAGGTTAATGCAAGAGACAGATATAGGGGAGGAACAGTTTGGTTTCATGCTGGTCAGAACATCATATGCGGTCTTTGCTTTTAAGCAGCTGATGAAAAGCTACAGAGACGTGCAGGCAGAACTGCACATGGTATTCATAGACCTAGAAAAACGAACGACAAGTATCTAAACAAAATGTATGGAGGTATACGAGGTAGAGGGAATATGAAAAGAGTATATATCCAAGTATATACTTTTGACCCAAGTAAAGAGTAGTGTAGTATAACAGAGGGATTCACTGTGAGAGTTAGACTGCACCAGAGCTCAGCTCTCAACCCGTTTCTGTTCGATTTAATGATGGATGTAGTGCTGAGAGATGTAAAGAGCAAGGGACCATGCAGCATGCTATTTGCGAATGACATTGTGATGTGCGAAACATCTCGAGATAAAGTAAAGAAGAAGCTGGAAGAGAGAGGCGTTAAGATCAGCAGAGCAAAGATATCTGGTAGAAGGAACGAAGTTATAAAGAACTCCAAGTGAAAAATTACTAACAGTTTACAAATTTAATTATTTTGGATCATATGTGGCAAGTAATGCAGGAATGAGTGCTGAAATCCAGCATAGAGTTTAGAGTAGATGAAAGAACTGCAGAAAGGTGAGCGAAATGCCGTGAGAGAAGAAAATAAGCTGTAAAATGAACGATAGGTTATATAAGACCGTGATAAGACCTTCAATGATGTACAATGTTGCGACGTGGACAATTATAAGAACCCAGGAAAAGAAGATGGAGGCGACGAAGATGAGAATGCTGAGATGAGTGTGCAGTGTGACGAGGAAGGACAATTAGAAATGATTACGTCAGAAGAACGATAAAGGTAGGTCCTATCAGTTAGAAGATGCAGGGAAGTAAATTAAGATGGTTTGGACAAGTGGAAAGAGAAGAAACGAGGAGTATGTTGTAAAGAGGATTGGGAAGTTGGAAGTGATAGAGAGGAGGAAGTAAAGAAGACCGAAGCTGAGATGTAGAGAGAGGGTATGGCATAGGATTTGGGAGAGTAAACGCCGTTTATAGAGAGAACTGGAGAAGACAGCTCAAAGATGAAAATGTTGACCCCATATAAACACGGGAAGAGGCAAAGACAAATAAGAAGAACGCTACTGATTTGCATACAAATGCTTTCCAAAGAGGTTAAGAGGTTATAGAATGATACTATTGCAACGGCTTCCTGGAAAGACAACTCTTTATCCAATATACTATAAAGTGGATTCGCGATCTATCGTTTTTAGTGGGACTTGAGGGAAAAAAACGACTAATACGGGATAACGATTAACACGGGAATTTATGACGTCGATGCTTTTATTGTTTATATCAGGGGCGTCCAACCTTTTTATTTCTCTGGGCCACATTGGAAGAGGTCTTGGAGTTTTGGACAACATGTATTCATATATTATATATAGATTACTTGTAGCCCAATCCTTAAATATACTTGTATATTTAAGGATTGTTAAGACAATGGCCAAAATTATAAATTGATATTTAAATGATACCAAATTTTCTATTTTTCTTATATTTTATTACGTTTTCTTTTTATTTTAATTAATTTAGTTATTTATAAAGTGGATGATCGGTTAAAGAACAGTTCGGAATGCGAACAAATCGGACAACGAACACCACAGAACAAACACAAGATATGTGAAACTATATTTTACTGGAATCTATGAATTGTTTATGGAACGAGACTTTCACAGAATTTTTGTAAGTGCTTTTCTGAACCCTTTATTTAAAAATATTGACAATATTATGGGGACTAAAAACAGTGGAGTGTCAAGAATTTACACTCCACTGGGCTATAATCTCTTGCTTAGTTCACTATAGAAACTAAGCAAGAGATTATAGCCAAGGTAAAGAGTGGACAGAAGATATCTGATGTTGCTAGGCAGTATGGCTTCAACAGGTCTGCAGTAGATACAATCTTAGCTAAGAAAGATACACAGTCCAGTCATATTAATGTGACCACCTGTCAAAAGTCAGAATGGTCCGCAAGGACAGATGCGTACTTCTGTTGATCCATCTTGCCTTCCACAATGACGAATGCACCTGGAGAATGCCACGAAAACATTCCCCAGACCATAATGCTCTCTCCTCCAGCTTGGATCCTCGCGGTAATTGATACAAGTTGTTTGCTTTCAGATACCTCACGCTTTATATACCAACGTCCATCTGTCCGATGAAACATAAAACGTGATTCATCGGAAAAAACCTGTCCCTACGCAGTGGACGTCCAGTTGCCTTATTGGCGTGCAAATTCCAGCCTTAGTCGCCGATGAACAGGAGTCTGCTGCGGAGGCTCATACGCAGCAACGTTCGATGAACTGTCGTTAAGGAGACACTTTTGGTAGCTCCTTGGTTCATCTGGGTGGTCAGTTGGTCAACGGTTGCACGTCTATTTGCTCGTAACGAACACATTTCCGCAGCCGTCGTTCACCTCTGTCGTCAATGGCCCGTGGTGCACTACATTTGCCACGTCGCTGATTTTGGATAATGCCATTTTGCCATGCACGGAATACTTTTACCAAGGCGGCATGCGAACAGTTTACAAATTTAGCCGTTTCGGAAATGCTTTCACCCTTGCCCCGGAAGCCAATGATCATGCTCTTTTGAACGTCGGATAAATCGCGTCGTACATCCTTTACGCCAACGATTGCAATGTGTTTCGCTTACCTCAGATACCCTACACTGCAATGTGTATCTATCTGCCACCTGTGATTAGTTATTTCACATTGATGTCGACAACAATGTGACTGGATTGTGTATAATCAAAAAGACTCAAGCAGATAAACAAGTAACGAAAATCACAACAAAGATGTACTGTATCATCCATGGAAAAATGGAAAGAATACTTTTAGTTTGTTATTACATATAGTAAGAAATTATATAATATTTTTTAATTTTCTGGTATGTCCAGAGTGAATAGCGATTAAACTTAAAAAAATAAGTCTGTGAAGCAGATCTTCAAATAACATACGAGCTCAGATTAAACATTTTTATAAATTAAAATTAGATGAAGAGAAAAGAAAACCATTCTCACAAACTTTACATGTTATGTAAACTAAACCTTCAGAAGTATTTGCAAGAGATAATAACTTCCTTTATTTAGGAACTTTCTTATGCATATAAACTAAATTTAGTTATTTTTATAGCGAATTAAATAAATATATTTATAAAAATTTATTACACAGTAGAAAAAAATAGAAATATCTACTTCAACTTTATTTTTTCTGTTATTTTACAATAAAATGATTATTAAGCAACAATTATTCATTAGTACTGTAGTATGTTACATTACCCTCAATTATTATGACTGTTTGTTTGTTTTAGTTAATTGAGCCACTGATGGACCCAATTATTATGAAATATAATTTAAATGACTGAAAGTTTTAATTTCAATTACTACATTTTATTTTACATTTTAAAGTGTGTTTTTAGTTCACAAACAATATTATAACATTTATTCTCTTTAGTAAATTTGTTATATTAATGTTTCTGTTATTCTGTTTAATAAGTCACGTAACGTTGTTATACAACTTGTCAGAAAACTAAAACTTCACCACAAACAGTCTATAGGTTAGTACTGATCTGAGAACCATGTTTTAATGTAATTTAAACAAGGTTAATTAAAACCATTTGAATAATGCATACTTCAAACATTTTAGAATAAGTGTTAATAAACCATTACTTATATTAACTCTTAAATTATCCCTCTCTTGGATCTATCAGATGGAAAACGAAACAATCTTATACCTTTGGCTGTCGAATTTTTACAATTCGGTGCTGAATAACAAACCATTANAACAAAATCGAGTAGTTTTAAATGTTCTTTGATACGATATAATTAATTATTTATCTTAATTAATTTATTTAAAAATTAGAAATACATGAGATGCACAAAACGTACTTAAGACAATTTTATTAATTACGAAAAAGAATAGAATTTGAAAGTTCTTATCGAAGACATTCTAGAAAAATTTCGTTTATGTACATTATGAATCGGAATTTCTGTATAAATTGAAAATTTAAAAATATACATTTATTTATTTTATAATTTTAATTCGGCAGTCGTCAATCCTTTGCCTATATTGGAAGCAGAATGTAGAAAATACGGCGAAGTCCATCCGTGTTTGCCTAATTATTCTGCAAAACAAGTCGCCGAACACGACACGTTAGATAAGTGTATTTGGGTAACGTACAGAGCCGGTGTTTACGACATAACGAAGTACATCAGCCAACATCCAGACGATAAAATAAAATTTGCAGCCGGAGGATCTCTAGAGCCTTTTTGGGAATTATATGGCACCCACAAACGCGATGAGGTACATTAAAATATATATATATATAACAAGAAATCTAACTAATTGAGATCGAAAGAAACAATCAGCTTCGCTCTAGAAACATCGTACACATAACCTGAAAAGAATCCAAAATGGTAACTGCCGCGATGCATAACGGTATCTTGTCTAGACCTTATGTTAATAGACTTTGCAGCCATGTGTTCCTGCAGATAAAAGCTTATACAAGGATAATCTCGTTCGTGGTGACAAGTGCAAAGTTCACCTGTCCACGTCCGTCAGATACAGTACAAGGTTCGACACTTCTAAACCTAACAAGGGCAGGGATCGCTTCTTTCTTTCCGGATCCACCTCAATTCTATCGTGATGCGACAATATCGCACGATGTCGTAGTAATAATTAATAGTATAAAAATTATTTTAAAATCTCATAACAGATGGCGCCACCACACAAGTTTTAATTAGGCGCTGGAGACAGTAAACAAATAGTCCGACTCCGACAAATTTGAAATGTGCGGCTTTGATTCCTACCTTTACCTTTTTTCAGAATGTTACACATTGATTAAATTAGCCCACCAGTGGCCGAGTGGTGAAACCACTAAACACTGGTAGTCAGTTCCAGTGGCGTGCCGTGACATTTGATGATAGGGAAGCTGTGTTTCTATAAGAAACCGACTTCCAGGGCAATCAGTTAATTCTTTCTTTAAATGTATTTTTAATAGATTATTTATCTGACGTACTTAATAAATAAATAAGTTCAATGTGATAACCTCTGTTATTGGATCCGATATATTCCATATGCCCTCTAAATGCCAATTCTTGCTTTGATAGAAACATATATTATATCTAAATAAATAGATGTTATATCTATTAACCGTAACTATCTCGTTATAAATTTCAATATTTATTTTATATTATTTACTAATGTTAAATTCTATTCCGCTTCGATTTCCAAATTGCTTCAAATATGAAAGAATCGACGATTTTTCGTGTCTTTTGCCAGCTAAATTGTCAAAGCCATTCTTATTCCACACACTAATTTTATTTGAAAATAGTAGGCAAGCCAACAAAACAATTTTTGCATTTTTATGCATTTACAGAGCCATTTTATCGTGAAAATGTCGAGCAAGTTTTTTCATTGAAGCGTTTATATTTAACTTAGGCATCGGCTTTTCTCTTTTAATAATGCTTTCTTCTTCATTATATGATCTCGAGCCAAAACTTTCTTAAAATAAATTTTCAATATCGCAATAACATTCTGAATCGCTAGCCACGATATAAGGGCTAAAATTAAAAGTAAAATTATAAAAATTACTTGGTGAAATAAAATGTGTGGTGGATATACATACCTGGTACAAAACATTCTTCAATTGTACGAGTATACTGTACTGTACGATATAAGGCCAATTCAATAATAAGTCCAGTTCAATAAGGAAAATAAATTTTAGAGCTTTTTCTGTACTTCGTGCATCTCTCTCATTCATTAAATTCAGTTGTAAATTATGCTACCAAAGTAACAGTTAATTTTTTAACATTATACAAGAATTGTTTTTTCTACATTTCCTTAAAGATAGGACATACGAAATCGTAATATCACTGGTTTAACATTAAAATCCGTAAGTAATATAAAATCGGAGAACGGAATAAATATATCAAATATTTTAACGATTTTTTTAAACTCCAGTCAACTATACAGAAAACTATCATAAAAACATACAGGTAAATTCTTATCAGTTGGGTCAGAGTCGGTAGATTGACTGGTCTTTCGACTAATAGTTCAAACTTAGCTAGAGACAATATTTGCCGCTAGTCGCCGCCACTGTTAGAAGAAGAGAATTGGTCTTGTTAGGTACATACTGAAGTCAGTGATTTTGACCTATAATAATTGTTTTTTTAGCTACATAAAAATGCCAACGTGCTTTGTGCCAGGATGCAAGGCAGGATATAAGTCATCGAACAAGAAGAGACATTTCTTTCGTGCTGCTAGCGATAAGATTGAGGAGTGGATGCGATGCATTCCACGAGATGACAAGATGCTAACAAATAAATGTTACGTTTGTGACGTACATTTTGCGAGTAGATTTATTTTAAAAACCTTCTCCCATGGAGAGAAAGTAGAAATTCCACGAGATCACTGGGCATTAACATCGGATGCATATCCATCAAACTTCCCTAATTGTCCTAAGTACATTAGTAGGTCTGTACCTCAAAAACGATCAACGCGATGTCTCACAAGAAATGAAGAACCATCTAGGAAGGGATCACAAAAAGACAATACCAAAGGTAACTATTTATGGTTTTTATGTAATCTTAATCCTCAGTGAGTCATGTAATTTTTTGCCCTTGCCTGAGTTGCAGTGCGTCTCTCGGACCCTGTGTTTTAATATAAAATTAAATTTTATCTATCTATCTATTTTATCTATATTTAAGGAACATTTTATATTTAAAAATTAAGTAAAGATTGAGCTGGGTTTGTGAGATCCACTGTGATTCACTGAGGGTTATCTCTCTGTGGCCCATCTTTCCTTATAAATACTTTAAGATTAATTGTCTGATATTTTTTTTTATCAATCATTAGATTTGCATGATACACACTCCCAAGTAACAACTGTAGAAAAGGAAGTAGAAGAACCCTCCACATCTGAAGCAGCAACTACACAGCATCCTGAGCTGTTATATGTCAATAAAATCTCTGCTTTGCAGTCTGAATTGTTAAAAGTCAAAGAGGATTTATATCGGTGCAGAAAGCAAAAGATGATCTATAGGAAGAAACTGAAAACCCTTCAAACAGAAAATCTCAAGCTTCATCAAGAAAATACTGAACTTAAAATGAAACAGTTGTCAGCTGATAAACTTGATTCCTTACCACCAAGACAGAAACTTATAATAGAGCACATGCTGAAAGCATGCCATATAAAAAGCAAAAAGGGTATGAGATATGACATTAATTGGTTACTTGACTGTTTACTTTTAAAAATTAGGTCACCATCTCTCTATGAATTTTTGAGAAATAATGATTACTTGCCTTTACCCTGTCAGTCTACACTGCATCAATATATCAGAGGCATTAATGCCAAATTTGGATTTGATGAAGATCTTTTTGTTATTTTAAAGACAAAATTGGAGACAATTCCACAAACAGAACGCCAGGGAGTTTTAATTTTTGATGAAATCACACTTCAAAAACATATAGAACTTTCAAAAGCTACTGGTGAAATGATTGGACTTGTTGATTATGGTGACAATTCTGAATTGCCACAGAGTGAATTTACAGCAGGTGATCATGGCCTAGTGTTTATGTTCAGACCTCACTTTGCTAGTTGGGTACAATGTATTGGCACATTCTGTTCAAAAAGCTCTGTCCCAGGTTCTACTGTTGCAAAACTTATTTTGCAAGCAATTATTCATTTAGAACAGTGTGGTGCAATAGTCAATGCAATAGTTTGTGATGGTGCCAGCACAAACAAAGCAGCTTTAAAAGCTCTAGGAATTTGTGCAGACACAAATAATATACAATGCTCATTTACAAACCCTGCTGCAGATAGACAAGTACTGGCTATTATTGATGTACCACATATTTTAAAATGTATGCGAAACAATCTTTTGAAAAATACATACTTTCAGGTAAAACTAAGAAAATAAAGTGTTTTCACCTAATTTATAATATAAACTATTGCACTATTCTGCGTTTTTACTTTTAGTTTCCTTAAAGGAAGGGTAGAATTGCAGCATCAGCAAAAGTATTACTAAATATCTATAAAAAATGAAATAAATAAAAGTATTCTTATCAAATCAGATTATATAAGTAAAAAAAAGTGTTACTTGAGCTGCCAGCAATACACTCATTCTCTGGAAATTATTGGAATTAACATGTATTTCTGTCACTTTGGGACATGCCTTTAATCCCTGTTTACCTCCACGCTGTTTTATAAACAGCGTGAGGTTGCTATCCTAAAGAATGCAGATGTTACAATAAGTTTCATACGTCACATCAATGCTCTTTTTGATGCTTTAAATCGTAGATTGCCACAGGAAGGAATCAGACATGATTCAAATGATCTCAAGGTAATAGTAATGATTCACTAGCAAAAACTATAAATGTTTTAATTAACAACTTTTTAAAAATAGGTTATTGAAGAATCTCTAGAATGGTTAAATAGATGGGAAGCATTCAGATTACAGATTAGAAGCACTGATCAAAAGGGATTTTTGAGCCACCAGACAGCAGAAAATCTACGCTTGACGCTGACT